CTTCGCGATGCTTTCGGGAATAAAACCAAATAAGGATTAAACATGATCAAGGTGTAATATATCCCCAACTGGGAACCAGGTCCGGTGGACGCAGCTGGGCATTGGCCTGCTGCAGGTCGAGCCACTGGGCCGGTATGTCGTACCGGTGGTTCACGCCATTTCACGGCGCGAGTCGCTGTCCTTCCTGTTGCTGGGTTCTTGTTCAGGAGCATACTTTAAGTTACCATTATGAAGATCTATGGTAAATAATAAGGTTTCCTTACTGTGGTAACTTAAATTACATTCCTCAACAAGAACCCAGGTTTTTCCTCTTCATCATCGTGCTTGGCTCCTTCCACGCGTACTACGTCTTCCCTATCAGGGAGAACACAGGCAGTCTAACCCATGTCCTGAACACTTTCTTGAAGATCTTCCGGCTAGAAATTCTTGGGGATTTCAGCCTCAGCGAGTTAGAAGGTCTCGGTGACCAACTTCATGGATCTTTCTCTTCGAATCAGACGTTTGCTGGTGAGATGGCCGAAGAAGCCGTCGACAAGGACTTCCACAAGAGCTTGCGTGCCGAGTTCGTAGCACTGAGCCTCGCAGTGAACATTGTGTTCCTGAACGTCTACATCGGCCTGCTCGGAGATCTCTACAGCAATTCAGTGAAGCAAAAGACCCAGTTGTACCATCATTACTTAGCATCCTACGCATACCGAAGCCTCTCTCGGGTGTGGCGCCCGGGTTCATGTCGTGAAGCATGCTGTGAGCCCTCAAGCCCCAACAATGACTCAGCACAAAATGGCATAGTCGAAATCATTTGGGTGGCCAACTTGGTCGAGCCTGAGGACAAGTCAGACTCCTGACCCACAACTTTCAAGCTAATTCTCTGGAACGCGGAGCCGTTTCCGAACAGCCCGAAGTTCTCAACTTCGATGGTCAGTTTAAGGAAGCATGTTTGGTTATATTCTTCTTCTCGGAAGTTCGTGAACTCTTGGGCAGCTCGCCTTAGGTCTCCTAGCAGGGACACCCCATCCTCCGCAACTCGCAAGTGAACCGTCTCAGACGGTTTAGGGTAACTAGGGCCTAGGTGTAAGGGTTGAGGGAGGGGGGAGGTCTCCTCCGAAGGCTGCTAGTTATGAGGCCCCAGGTGGAGCCTGGATCTTGGCACCCGCTGCAAAGTACAGCTGGGCTTAGGCCTCCGTTTCAGCGGATCTGGCCTGCGGTGAGTTTTCATCCAGCGTCTTGAGACTCGGAGCCATGGTTGCCGTGTCAGAGCAGGAACGTGTTAGGTTTTGTGGAATCACGCAAGATTTGGTTTTGGCCGGGTGATGTTATAACTAAGGCTTCATGTATGATTTCTTGCATTAGGGTCCCTGTGGTCCTGTAGTTGAGTTGGCCATAGAAACCGTTTCGAGAAACCTAGGACCCTATGTAACATCACCGATGGATGACTGTTGAGGCCAGCCAGAACAGGAGAGTTTCCGAAAGAAGGGGACCTTATTTTTCTTATACTATCTGCCTTAACCCACCAAAACCAACTTTTTTGTAGGTTCCTGTTGTAGACCCCAATATGGAATTTATAGGGGGCCCTACAAAAAAAGTAGGGTTTTGGTAGGTTAGGGTAGGTTGCTATATTAGGGTCCCCTACTTTCGGAAGCCCCCACATCTTCCATACGTTCCAGTACGAAAGGGTTTAGGGTTTAGGGTTTAGGGTTTAGGGCTTAGGGTTTAGGTCCTTATATCACTCTCCTATCATACTCCTAGAAACGTCACTCGTGTTCCTGGGCAGGGAATGTGTCGTTCAGGGAATCCAAAAGTTGTTCCAGGAATGATTACGGCGTCGTTCGCCAAGAATCATAATAGGTTCTGCCGGACGCGGGAGGGTGAGATCCACCACCGTCGAAATTCAAGGATCCGACAGGGGATCCTACTGGGAGGTGAGTTAGTTTGGCCAGTGACTTCGACAGAGTTAAGGGATTTGGCTCATAGTCATAGGCTGTAGCGCTGCATGCTTGAGATTCGATGGACTCGACACTGTCGTCACCTGGGCCATGAGGAATGTTCGCATGTACTCCGGCTTTGCTCTCTTTGAGTCCATTAGGTATGTCCCTAAACCCTGAACCCTAAACTCTAATTCTGGCCCAAGAGAGAGAAGCGGAGACCAGGACCACAAGAGATGTGTGACAAACTGAGCTCTGTGCTCCTGCCAGCTCAGGGCTCATGCTTCAGGATTTCAGAAAGGGGTTTGGGGTGTGACGTTGCAAGCCAGTTGCAAAAACGGGTTTAGGGGGGGGTCGGAATAATCACGAATAGCATTCCCTGAAAGTCCCCAGTATAGCTATGGTATAAAACCCACCAAAACCCTATTCTAATTATTAAGGCCCGATAGCATACCGGTGCACGAAGAGGGTAGAACTTCAATTCCTCAACCCTGAACCTGAAGCCCTAAACCTTCCTGTAAGCCCTTAAACTCCAAACTGTAGACCCTGGAACGGAAAAAGCAAGCCCAGAAGCAAAGACAAAGCAAACCCAACACGTAAACCCTAAACCCTGAAACCCCCTAAACCCCCTAAACCCCCTAAACCCCTTAAAACCTCCGAAACCCCCTAAACCCCCTAAACCGTAAGCCCCCAAACCTGGTAGCTGCCCTATTGCCCGTAGAGCCAACTGAACCCGTTAGCCAGAGAAGCCTGCTGCAAAAGGGTTTTAGGATTTTAGGGTTTAGGGTTTAGGGTTTAGGGTTTTAGGGTTTTAGGGTTTAGGGTTTAGGGTTTAGGGTAATATCGAGACACAGGTGTCAGGAGACTTGAAAGGGTGACTGTATTGTGTCTTTGTTTGATGCAGGGCTGTGTGAGATCATGCAGTGCTGCTTCCCAGCTGATCAACAAAGTCTGGGTTCAAAAAGGGTGATATCGAGCTCCAAAGACACGGAACATCTTCGTGGAATTGTCGACTCCGGGTTGAACGAGGCAAGAGCATCGAGTGCACTCTAGCCCGGGTTTCGCCTCCTACCGAACCGGCACTAAGAACCCAGAGACTCCAATACCTCTTAATTAAGGAAAACACCTTAAATCTTCTTACGGATCCTGCTGTACTTCAAGGTATATTCCTTAATTGAGGGGTTTTGGAGTCTCTGGGAACCTTGCCTCGCACGTCCGAGAGCTAGCGCTTTTTGCGAACCCCACCACTCGACCCGTCAGCCCTCAACCCTAAATGCAAAAAAGTCTTGAAGCTCCCAACCCTAAACCCTAAACCTTCTTTAAGCCTCACGTTCGACTTAACTTAACAGGCAGGTGGAGAAGAGGTTTCCCTAAACCCTAAACCCTACATCCTAAACCCTACATCCTAAACCCTACATCCTAAACCCTAAACCCTAAACCCTCAAAACCCTAAACCCTAAACCGAAAAAAAGAAGCCCTCAGCTCCAACCCCGAAGCCTGACGAGGTCGGCCGGAGCGAGGCTGCCTTAGCCGAGGACGACGAGCCCTTGGAATGGGGGAATGGATCCCTATGATAGTCCCTTAAGGTCCCTTATAGTAGTCCCTAAACCCTAAACCCTAAACCCTAAACCGTAAACCCTAAACCCTAAACCCTAAACCCTAAACCCTAAGCACCAGACAGAGGACGACGAGCCATTGGAGTCTCCAGATCCGGAGGTCAAGAGCCCAGGCGCCAGAGGGGCCTTGGTGAAGGGTTTAGGGTTTAGGGTTTAGGGGTTTAGGGTTTACGGTTTAGGGTTTAGGGTTTAGGGTGTCTCTTGTGCTTCTTAGGAGCTTCTGAAAAGTGTGTGAGTTGTTTTTCTAGCCCTCCTACTACTACGACTGCTGCTGCTGCTGCTGCTGCTGCTGCTACTGCTGCTGCTACTGCTGGTCGTAGGTAGGATGTTTGAGTTGTAAGGCAAAAAAGAGCTCCACTTCCTCTCCAACCGGTGGAATCCGAGATTAGTGAACAGCTTCTCGTGGGATGCGAAGTTGTGGGTCTGTAAACTTGAGGAGCTGCTACGAGTCCGTCCCAGAGACACACACACACACACATATATATATATATATATATAGAGATAGCTTGCTGCATGGCCTTGAACTTACGGTGCTCCGGCTCCGCGTTCAACAACGCGGAGGTTTGACCCTTCAAGCCCCCGATGGCGCCTTAAACTTAAGGCGCTCCGGCTCGCGTTCAATAACGCGAAGGTTTGACCCTTCAAGCCGACCTGAAGTCTTACCGTGGCCCCTGAGGCCATGGAACCTAGAAGTTCCACGGTTTAGGGTTTAGGGCTTAGGGGATTCTTCAATTATGGAGGCTTGAATGGTTGGTGCGTGGACGCGCCGGTGCACTCAGAATCAGAAGAATCTCTCCGTGTAGAACGCCAGCACCCAGTGCTAGGTGTTGAAGACTTTAGTTGCCTGAGGATGAACCGGGTGTCGCAATGATAGCCCTTACAGTCATCCTTCTCGGGACACTTGTAGCAGCCCCGAAAGCTGACCCAAAGTCGCATCCCGGACCCAGAGAGCCCAATACCCCTTAACTAAGGAATATAGCTTAAAGCATAATATGAAGCCCCTTATCATTTAAGGTATATCCCTTAATTAAGGAATATAGCTTAAATCATAATATGAAGCCCCTTATCATTTAAGGTCTATTCCCTAATTAAGGGGGGTCTTGGGCTCTCTGGGAAAAGCAGGTGCTCAGCCGAAGAGCGTCTTCGGGGAGTTCAGCGGGCTCGCGAGGACGGCGCCCTTTTTTGACGGCCCTGTCTTCCCAGAGACTCCAAAACCCCTTAGTTAAGGAATATACCTTAAAGTATAGTAGGACCCCTAATAGGGTTTAAGGTATATTCCTTAATCAAGAGGTATTGGAGTCTCTGGGCTCGTTTGGGGTTCAAGAGCGGCCCTGGGGACTGGGGAGCCTTCCCACGTTTGATTAGTATTCGCATCAGTACTAGCATTGGGTATTCGTATGAAAATGATGGCCTTCGCTTGAAGCATCCTGGGGAGACCTTGGCTTTCTGAGCGTCCCGCCTTGCTGTCCTCTTCCTTTGCCTCTGCGCCCGAGTGATTGTGTGCAACGCCCTGTCATTCTGGCTACGGCTATTGGGTTTTGCTGTCTTCCGCCTCGCCGACTCGTGGATGTTGATTCTGCAGAGTTGGCCTCCTTGTACTTTATAGTACATGCTACATACTATGCAATGTATACTGTATAGTATATAAATGTGTAGAGTATAATATACCGTCCCTTCCCTCTACAGCGCCTTTCTACCTTTGCCGGCCCTCCTGTTTGATGGCATGGCTGCTGGCTCAAGGCTCCCCCATTTGATATGAGTCGTGTCGGCTACTCTTCCTTCTGCATTGGTTCAACAGGGTCTCTGTACAGGTTCTGGGGTTTCCCCCCTTTTGACCGTCCTGTCTCCTGCAATACTTGGAGGATCATGGGACTTAGTAAGTAGGGTTATAACTAGGGTAACTATACTTATAACCCCAAGAAAGGGACTTATAACCTTACTTACTAAGTCCCATGATCCTCCAAGTAGACCCTAAACCCTAAACCCTAAACCCTAAACCTTATAAACCCTAAACCCTTCAAAACCCTACTTACTACGTCCCATGATCCTCCAAGTGCAGCCTGTTTCCTGCCCCTCCATAGAACCTTCAAAGGCCGAGGGCGGCCATGATGTTCCGTCGTTGGCAAAGCATGGGCGGATGCACTCCGTAAGCCCTAAAACCCTAAACCCCCTAAGCCCTAAAGCCCTAAACCCTAAACCTGCCTTGTGCGAGTGTGTGAGTCGAAACCCTAAGCCCCTAAACCCTAAACCCCTAAACCCTAAACCCCCTTAAACCCTAAACCCGAAACTCTAAACCCCTAAACCCCTAAACCCCCAAACCCCTAAACCCCCAAACCCCTAAACTCTTTCAACCCGGAGGATGCTCGGCGACTCCTGCGTGGACTTGGGCCAGGGCTTCCCCAACTACGATCCCCCCGAATTTGTGGTGCAGGATTTTGCGAGGGAGGGGCTGGGGGGCGTAGGGGCTGAGGGCTTTAGGGGTTTAGGGTTTAGGGTTTAGGGAAAAGGGTTTAGGGAAAAGGGTTTGGGTGGGTTTTAGGGGTTTGGGGTTTTAGGGGTTTGGGGTTTCGGGCTTAGGGGTTGAGGGTTGAGGGGTTATCGATGTGGCGGGCAGCTTGGAGGCACTTCTCAGAGACCTCGTTCAAAAAGGGGTTTAGGGTTTAGGGGTTAGGGGGGTTCGACTTAGGCTTTCAGGGTTTGGGGGTTTGGAG